GAGAGAGAGAGAGAGAGAGAGAGAGAGAGAGAGAGAGAGAGAGAGGTAGAGGAAGAGAGAGCACCGTCTAGCCCGACAAGGGTGGGCATCGTAAATCGCGTTGTAAGTTCTCGGTTGGCGACAAGAAACTGCCTACCGCACGGTTTATGTCCGCGAAATAAAGAAATCGTAAAGCTGATTGTGATTGCGGCCGGTTGCGCGAGAGCGCGGGGCCCTCGTTTTCGCATTCGTGCAATGCGAAATGACGATGACGACGACGACGACGACGGGCCGATGGCTGGCCGCTTAGCCCTCTAATCATCCCCGTGATTTGCGGCCGACATGGTAAAAAAAGGGACAGGGTACAAAGAGGGGACAGGGGTGCCTTATTAAGATTCGCGGACGAGTACGCCACACGAGGGCGGCTTGATTGAAATTTAATTGCACCGTCGAAATTATCCTCTTTTCTTCCCTCGAGCACGAGCGCTCGACGGTGTTTCCTCGGCGGTTTTTGCGCCCGGCGTCGCGCATTATCGCGTTGATGTGATCTTTTTTCCCGTACGGCAGTGATTCCATTTTTTTCGCACTTTCGCCATTTCAAGTCCCGCAGGACATTAGATACTAGCGCGCGATTAGCGTGGAAAGAAACACGATGGTCCTGGCATTATTATTATAAGTGTGTCACTTGTGTCGGTACAAATGTAATACGCGAAAAAAATATTCTTTAGACGATAAGAACGACTTTAAAAAAAATTCCCCAGAAAACAATACGCGCTAAGAGAAGAAATATTTATTCGATAGATAATGACAACATATATTTGCTTACTATGTACTAATATAAAATATATTTTAAATAAAAAAATATACACACACATTTTCTGAGAACCTTCCCATGAAAGTAATTGTTTATGTTATATTTAAATGAAAGAATTTAGATAATATATTTAGAATTTAGATAACTTTAAGTAAACATATTACTATAGTACTCACTGAATAAATATGTTTTATTTTTAAGATATTTCTTTTCTTATGTAGCGTATACAACTGTCCATTATATAGCCATTATATATTATATTAGCATTATAACTGTCCATTATATAGCATTATATATTATATTAGCATAATAACTGTCCATTATATGTATCCTAAAAAAGTAACGCGTTTATAAAGTCACCGATTGTCGCGAGATTATAGCGACAGTGATCAGAGAACGTAAAAGGCGAAACGCACAAATCGATTTCGCTGTATGCGCGATCACATTGCATTACGTGAAGCGATTTCAAGGTGGATGAAAGAAGGTCGACAATTGTCTTAATGTCGTTAAAATAGACACTTAACGAGCGTTTAGACAAACGGGCGATTTTTTTTATTGCATCCACCCGATCAACGAGTCCGTATTCTTATGATTTACGCGATTCTGTTGCAGTGGTGATGCACAAGGACAAGGAGGAGAATTCACATCACGACTCGCACTACAGGGCGAGAGAGTTGGCGGCGCTCGCCGCTTACGACCATCATCACCTCGACGGCGAAATGTTCCTACAGGTGAGTACTTATCGGGGACGATTCATTACGTAGAACAGCCTGTATTTACGATCTCATTTGGAGGCACCAAATTTTTAAAATGCACATCGGGCGAGAGAGCGCGACGTGCGCGCGTATTTATCGCGCCGGCGAGAGACACACCTGCTCCCTTGCTCTCGATCGATCGACACGTTTCGCCGACCGTGGCGGAGAAATCTATCTTCGCGAACGAGATCTTGTCGCTGATCCATATGCTGGAGGGGAGAGGGAAGGAAGAGGGGCAAGAAAAGGAAAGAAGAAAAAACAGGCGACAGTGACGAGCAGCCGCGTGAAATATTTAAGCGATTCGACGACGTTGTCGTACTTAGCAACGAAAGTGTGAGTAGCGAGTCACGGTTTGAAGTGTCTTATGGCATATTTAGTGTACGGTACCTGCCTATCTTTCCATTCCTTGCAATTAGCTGCACCAGTGGTCGCGAGTAGCGTCAGCCTGTGTAATTGAAACATCGTGTGTGTGTATGTACGCGTGCGAGGGAGGTAAGTTCGGGTATTTATAACAGCGGGGCTTTACGATAATGCCAAAGTTTAGGCGAATTATCGGTTTGACGAGCATGGCTAGCTCTGGCTAGCTCGGATCGAATTCCCACGGCGGCTACAATCGCTTGACGACTGAGAGTTAAGACCAACCGTGGAAGCCGTCTAATATGTAACAATGATCAGCCGGACTCCCCCCGCTAGATTATTTTTTTTACTTTCCACTTGCACCTCCTTATTAAGAGCTCTCTGAATATATCTCATTCCGCGAGTTCATTTATATTGAAATTCTATCGTGTCGCGCATATTGAATGTCTCTTTATGAACGATAGCGATCTCTTAAACGGTATTTATGGGGCGGTCCATTATAACGATCCGCATAAACAGGTGTAAAAAAGATAGCAGCCGCCGAGCTATCGATTCGAATTGTTGGGGATCAATCAACAACGGCGATGCGATAAGCCGAGCGATTACAAACGATCGACTCCATTTCGAGCGGCGATATTATCTGCGCGATACATTCACCTGCCATAAGCACCATCTACGATTCACGATTGATCGACGCTCGGCAGTGTGAGTGCACGAACAGATGGAGAGATGAATGAGCAGGCAGAAGAGAAACGGGCGTGCTACCGAATGACGACCCGTGATTGGAACTGTCTGTCAGGGAAACGATACGATTGAACGTCACGTTTGAAGGGAGAACTGCGCGGGGATGGTTTCGTATATTATTTCGATGAAATATAGTGTACAGCCGGGCGGATGGCATGACGCGGAAATAGAAACATTTCAGCCCCGAATCGGTGTCTCGAAATGCGTGTAGATGTTCTGTTACGTCGATTGAGAATAGATTCTTGCGAGATTGGTGGGAGTAAAGCATGAACAAACGTTTAGAACTGGAATTTTGGAAATTGCATTTCGAAAACTAGATTTTTCGCAAAGACACGCAACGCAGCTCGTGTAACAAATTGTCGTTCAGATTTGAAATATTTTAGGCGCGAAAATAACATCTCTAGACAATTGTTTGTATTATATTTAATATTAACGCTTCACGGGCTCTTCTTGAGAGAACCAATCTTGACTGAAACTTTGTTTCTTTCTTTTATTAGATTTCGTAAAAAAAATTCAAGTTTTGAGTATATGATCTTAACTCTCCTTATATAGTTATACTTGCACGGCCTTCTTAAGGCAAGGATTCTTACATGAGTCGCTGATCGTGGCGAAGACTGCACGCCGAAATTAAATCATCGGCAGCGAGAGGAAAAGACAGGAAGAGAAGCGAGGACGTGAGGGGGCGGGGGAACGAGAAAGAGGAAGAGAGAAAGAGAGAGTAGGGAGATATCCGGCTGATGAACCGGCTATGAAACCGAGGCGTACGAGGTGTCTATTCCTCCAAAGTATGGAAGGGTATATACACGGATTAATGGCGGTGTATCATGCAAGGCTATTACGTTCCCTTTCCTGCGTTTTAGGTGCGCACATGAGGGAAAGGGAGCAAGAGCCTGAGACTGCGGGAGGGAAAGAGAGAAAGGAACAAAC